AAAATAACAATTTCATTTTAATAATTGAAGAAATTCAATTACATTAAGGAGGTCAATTAATAACTTGGGAGTAATTTCCGGAATCTGATACACTCCTGCTATCATATTAAAAATTAATGAAAAAAAAAGAAAATTAATAAAATGTACGCAACTTTTTATTTTTAAATATTTGGCGTCTGATGTTGTGTGAACAAATGATCAATGCGGTGAAACGTTTGTGCACCAATACATTTGCAGAATGGGTTTTATAAATGGAAAAAAAGGGCTGATCATCGTGCAAAAAGAAATATTTTATGATCGATTAAATTACGTTTTATGTAAGACATGTGCATGACTGCGCGTTTAATTTACTTCCGAAAAAAAAATCATATTTCCATAGATTCTTACCTATTTAAATAAAATCGTTAGTTTATTCTCCAACATGAATGAAATCGCATGTAAAAAAAAAAAAGGAACAAGTATAAACACACAGCAATTCCTGAAGAGATTTTGAGGATTTTTTTTACACCTCACATTTCTACATGAAGCATTTTTTTAAATATAACTATACCCTCTGATCAATGTTTTATTAATCTAAAAAAAAATTTACTTCTCCAAATATATAATATTTAATAATAGGAATATTTTTTTCAAATATACATAAATTTATTAAAAAAGGATGAATCCATAAAATTATTTATCGAACCCAATCCTTTTTTAAAAGATGTAAAAAATAAAAAGAAAATGATAAATATATTAATTTATTTTGTGATGAAGCCAAAGAAATGAATGAAACAATAATATACCATTATAAATTTTATTAACTTCCTAATATCGCTTAATTTCTCTAACAGGAGGAGTTGTTCTATAATTTTGGACCTCAATTACAATAGTAGTTATTCCAGAGTTTCTCATCGTACCCTTGAATAACAAATCGGTACTTAGAACACCGCGGTACATCTTACCGTCTCCCTTATGAGGGAGGTCATTGTATATCTTTTCAAATAATGCTAGGCCAATAACACAAGGTTAATTATTGTGATGATTAGTTTAGATAAATAAGGAATGAGATACTTACCTCTATTAGCTTTAACATGACCATTATATACTTTAATATTCCACCAATTTGAGTAAAAGATGTAATTTAATGGGACACTCCACATAAAAACCAAGGATTCGTTACGATCTTGGAAATGGTACGCAATAACCCCTACAGTTCCTCCAAACACGCCAGAAATCTTACGAGCTCCCCAGACCAAACCTTTATCTTTTGAAAGTTGATCAGAGGGAAGCTGAAAATCAGATGTTCCATATTCAATGTGTACTTCAGGTTTCTCAAAAATCATTGGAGACGAAAGGTTTTTGATAGTAATAGCTACTTTTCTGTTATAATCACCAAGTTCCTGTACGTATACAAAAAAAAAAAAAATTTAAATAAATAATAATGCGAATTTAACGTTATTAATGAAAAAATTAAATATACGTTTAGGAGTTCATTTAGCAAGGAAGGAGTAATTTCCTGTATATCGTAAACGCCTGCTACCATTTTCGAGAACTAAATTGTGATGAGAAATAATATTTTAAATTTTAAAAAAAAATTTGTATGATCATTTTGTGCGACAAATGTTGACATCAGTTTCATGTCGTGTAACATACTCCCGTCATCCGTTTGATATAATCCTTAGTTCATTTGCTAGATGATTGGCTGATTGAATAATAAAATTAAGGGAGCCAATAAGGTAACAAAAATTTTTTTTTTCGAAAACCTAAACCTGATTATATGTATGATAAAAATATATAATTATTCTTTTTTTTTTTTTAGATCAGGCAATCCTTGTTCTTAAGTTGTTTCTTCGTTGGTGCAAGTAAGTTGTTTTATTTAATTTGGAACTTGGATTTTTTTTTTCGTCTACATTATTTTTTTTTTTTTTCTAATTTTTAAGTTGGTTCGTTCTGCCGCGGTAAAATCTTTTGATTTTATTATTATTACTCTTCTTTTGTCCTTTTTTTCATTTAATGTTATTTTTTATCTTTTTAAAATTATCTTTTTTTTTTTAAATTTCATGGTCCGTAGGACTGAATGATTTATTTTCTTTTGGATTTTGCGAACGAGGTAGAGGTGGAGCCTCCTAGTAAATTTTAAAGAATTCCGACTAGGAATATCAAAAAGGAATTCTGCAAAAATTATTACCTACTGCTTAAATTTTGGTTATATATTATTTAAAAAAAAAGTTTTAGCCTCCAAGATATTCCACCTTCAATATTAAAATAAGAAACTTTCATGATGATGATGCACATTCAAGGTTTTACAAAACACCTAAAATAGATGTGGTAAAGCAAAGGCGCAAAGGTTTATCTATAAAAATTGTGCAATCACGTGTTAGCGAAGGTGAAAACTTTAAAAGTTGTAACTGACTATATCAACCGAAAGAAAAGCGCATATAAATGTGTTAAATGATAATGCGAATTATTAATATACTGATCAATTCCGTTCTTGCCATTTCATACACAAGTCCCCTTCCAAATACTCTAGATATCGTGACAAAATCCATGATGACGACCCGAATGATAATTCAGATGATGACTTAAATGATGATGCTTCATCCAACGAATCCGAATGTCTAGAAACAAATAAACTTCAAACTAATTATTGCAAGGACCTGACTAAATATAATCTTAGGTTATATAGTTTGTTAGATGATAAAAGAATGGCTTCGGTAAGTTTCCCTTACGATTATTCTGAAAGTTTTAAAAGAACTCTTAATAGATCAATTTAATTTTATCATTTCACTTGGTTGAGAAAATAATAGCTCAAGAGATTAATTAGAGAAACTATGCTGCTGTTTCAAGTCTATTTCTGAAATCAATTTCGCGACATTAAATCCATTCTCGTTTCAACATATTGGATGCTCCGAAACCACGCTCTTATTGCAATTATTGATCATCAATGAAATGAAATCGGATAAAAAATGTTGCGATGAATAAGTAAATTCCTAAATTAACCGATGACGTAATTTTTTTGTATATGTAGTATCGTATGTACAAATTTAGACAATCGAGCGTGCGCAGTTATTTTCTGTTAAAATTTTGCAAGGTGGACAAGGAAGCGTCCAAAGTTGTAATTCAGATGAACTTCGAGTGTCTGACATTGAGATTCCAATTTGGAATTCCAATTTCAGACACTCTTTTTGTTATCTGAATTCCAACTTATAAAAAAAAACTATTTCCAATCACAATTTTTTTTATTTTTACAATTTCGTACAGTAAACTGTCGACTTCAATTTTATATTTTCGGTCTTTGTATACTAATAGAAATATATATTTTTTTTTTTGAGAATGCTCTAGGTTTGTTATTCTCCCCCTTTTTTATCATTATATTTCTTCTATATTTTTAGGGTTTTTGATTGCATTCGGGCTTCTGCGTTATATATTTTTTTATTAGCGACGATAAAAAGTCCCATTGGACCGGTCTTAAACGGTCCTATGAAGTCCGGTCCAAGTCCTTTGAACTATAGGACAGCGGTCCCATATAAATTGGGACTTGCGGTCCTATAACCTACAGTCAATATTAAAAGATGAATCGATCAAAGAAGAATGATATAAAAGTTCAACTAGAACGATTTTCATCGTTTTAGTTGAATGGTCCAACAAGAACGATTCTTCATCGTTCTAATTAAAACTATACATCACATCATCGATCACAGTCCTAGGACTGCAATCTCGGGATGGTACTAGAATAACTTAGTCCTATGGGACCGGTTGGGCTGGGAGTTTCGAGGTCGGTGTCCCGTGATTTCATGATAAACTTTTACATTTCTTTATAACCTTTTTTTTCTTTTGACACATTTTTTTTTATAAACTTATTTCTTTGAACATTTCTCCGTAATCAAATAATGGAAAATAGAAATTTTACAATGTAATATTTAAACATTAAATTTCTCAAATTACTACAAGGTTAATAACATAAATTTTTTAAACCAACGTCTGAAGAGCTTATTCGAGTGCAATAAAGTCATGTTCCAATCAAATGTATTGAAAATGGGTTAATTATATGAACTCTTGGCGAAGCCCTGAAAGCGTTGGTTATAATTATAAATTAGAGTCACTTTCTTTCTAAAGAACAAATTGAGAAATAGATGAGTGAATTTGTATATAGAATAAGAACAAAAATTGGTGAACGATATTCAAGAGAAAAGCAGTTGCTTCAATAAGTCACCATCTCAAAGATATTATTTCACAATGGAATTATAATCTATTAGTTAAAAATAATTTTCCAAAGTTACATGTGGAACATTAAAAGAAATGAAAAAAAATAGAAATAGGTGTCGCAAAATCACATGAAGGCCTAACAAATGATGAATTAAAACTTATTTTAAATCATGATGCTGTATCTCCTAATGAACCTGAAAGATTACTTAGAAGTGTTTTCTTATGGATTTGTCTAGTCTATTAGGATGTGAAAATTATAATTTACTAATTAGTCAGTTTGAAGATACAGAGGACGGATTTATTTTTAGAAAATTTCATCAAAAAATGATCAAGTAGGATTAGAAGGAATCCAAATTAAAAGCAAGGCTGAACCTAATGCAGAAATTTGCAAGTATATTTCAATGAGACCTTTGGATTGTGCAACTAAAGAATTTTATCTGGGAATTTCAACAAATGCAACAGGTAAATTAATTATTTTAATATTAAATTAATAGAATTTTAATACTTTTTTATTAGTAATTTCTAAAGGAAAATGGTATTATGATCGGGCACTTTGTGAAAAACGGATTAGGGGAATGTTTTGTGAAATCTGCATTGCATGTGGTATTTACATATCTGGAAGAAATATTGCTAATCATTCAGGAAGATATACAGCAATTCAATCAATATTTTATGCTGGAAATGAAGAAGTCGAAGCAATGGCAATCTCTGGTCATAATTCATCAGATGGAGTACGCAATTACCTCAAAGTGACAAAAGAAAAAAAGAAGAAATTCTTAATTCAGTTATGTAACGAATAACACCCAATTCTAAATGAAATAAAGACGCAGAATGATGAAATTAAATCTGGTTTCTGCAAGGCTTCGGATTTATTAAAAAATAAGGCCATTGCAAGAACCTTCTAACGAAAATTAATCAATAAAAAGGAAAAAAGGAAACATAACATTATTATATTAATTACTCGAATTATAACAATTGATTTTTATAATATATTGTAATATATGTAAATAATGCTTAAACAATATAAGAAATTTATTACCTAATACACGATTTATCATAGTGATCGTCAATTATAAAAAAAACCAGGAAAAAATCACGGGATACCGGACCGGATAAACACAGATTTTGATTTTCTCAATAAAATTAAATAAAATTAAATAAAATTTTAAAATTTAAAAAAAAAAAATTCATCATTTCAAAATAAAGTTTTTATAGCTTGTAAACAAAATAATAATGACCTTTTTAAATTAAGACCGTTCGGGATAGACAATCATAAAAATATTGATTATACATACCATAGACGAACATTTAATTATGATAAAGAGTTAGTCACTTCAAAGTCATCGTGATTTACAATCAATTCAATAAATAAACGGATAAATATCGGCAAAAATTTTTATGCATAATTTATTAGTGTCATTATTAATTGTTTTACTATAAATTTATTCACGAAATCCTTTGTGATCCACTCCAATTCTCCTTTTTCATTAATTAAAGGATAAAATGCAACAAGGAAAAATTCCAACAGTTAATATTATTGGAGCAGGACCAGGAGGAATTTCTCTTTATCATGCATTAATGAAAAATAAAGATAAGAAAGAATTTAATGTAAAAATCTTTGAACGTGAAACTAGCCCTAAAGGTAAAATATATAAATTCGAAAATTCATAAGACTTTATTTTCAAAACTTGTCATGCGATCATTTGATTGTTATGTAAATAGATCGATGGCAAGGTTATCATATCGGCTTGAACCCTCGTGGTATTCGATCACTTCTAAGCTGCATTCCACCCTCAGTCGCCTCGAACCTTCCAAAAGCTATCCCAAATCCAATTCCAAATGTTGAATTTCACGGAATTACAATCGCCGATCATCTAGGAAATGTTATGTTTAAACCTCCATCTAAACAAGTTAAAGAAGTTTATGAATTGTCGAAAATTACTGACGAATATTGTGCTATCATTGGTTACCGTGATAGGCTTAGAGACGTATTGCTGGAAGGTGTGCCAGTTCAATGGGGTAAAAAATGCATTGGATTTGAAGAAACCAAAAATGCCGTTTGGGCGATCTTTGAAGGTGGTTCACGAGAGTCAAGCGACATTTTAATAGGTGCAGATGGAATTAATTCTCCGGGTATTTAGAATTTGACTGAAAAAAATAATTTCTTCTTTTTTTCTTGACATATCTTTAATTGATGTCTTTTTTTTGTTGTTGTTGTAGTTCGAAAGCAAAAGGTACCGGAATTACAAATATTCGATTATGGTGTGACTTTTATTAACTCGGATATTCCTGTGAAAAAAAGTCTTGTTGAAAGGTTAATGAAAACTCATGGAGACG